CGCACAGGCGACTGCGGGCGAGATGGGCCCTGCTGACGCTGGCGACCAGGATAACGGTCCCCACGACGAGGGGAGTAGAGCCGTTGGCGTTTTGCAGGAGGGGGCGAATGCGGAGCTGGGGGCCGACGCCCAGACGTCTGGCGGGCAGGCGACCGCTGGCGAGATGAACGATGAGGAGGCGAACGATGACGATGCGAGCGGAGGTCACGGGATCGGCTCCGCGACGCCACGCGACGAGGTGAACGAGGAGACGGCGGTGAACGGGCCGCACCGTGACGATCATCGCGGCGGCTCTCCCGCTTATTGTCGCGAGCTGCCGATGAGCGACGACGGGGCGAACACTCCCGGTGCGCCACAGCCTCTGCGCCGGAGCGCAGGACGGACCCCGCGCGCAGGGGCTCCGGCGGCGACACGGACCTGCCCGCGCGCCGAGCCAGCTCGCGCTGCTGGTCCTCGAAGCGGCGGCGGATCTGATCAGCGGACGCCGGGGGAGCAACAGGTACGCTCGCGGCAGGGCGTGCAAGAGGAAGCGGACGGGGAGCGGGATCGCTCTCCGCGGTGCAGTCGCGGCCCAGAGCGCCGAGGAAATCCATCGGCGAGCGCTCAGGGCGCTCCACTGCCACAAGAGGAGCCGACGACGCCGATCTCCCAGGCGCAACAGGCGGCACCTGTGGCAGCCACTCCGAGGAGCGGACGGGGAAGCACGCGGGGGAGAGGCGGGCGTCGAGGAGCGCGCGGAGGACAGCGGAGTGCAGGCCAAGCGGCGAGGGGGAATCCGCGCCAACTACCGAGCCCAATCTGGCTGGGGGAGCCGGCGGAACGAGTCACGCGCCAGTCGTTTGCTAGACGCGGGGGGAGAGGGGGAACGACAGCGCAAGCAGTGAGAAACGGTGATACAAACGCAGACGGGAGCGGCGACGAATATGTACCGTCAGATCTGAGGCAACCCGACAACCCCGACTCACCTCTCGCGGAAGCGGGGGAGGACCAGGCGCAGCAGCAGGAGAACGGTTCTAGACGCCGACTGAACCGCTGACCCCAACCCCCTCCGGACCAAGCCCTGTCAGCGTCCCAGCTGGCATCGAGGGAGGATCTCTTTGAGATCGCGATGAGCTGGGACTCTTCAACCCTAACGTCAACCACCCACCTGCCTATCGTCCGCCGCCTCCCGCCGCAGATACTAAGCGACTACTCCACCTGTATGCTGGCCGCCCTATTACGGATCTCCAAACTGCCCAACTGCGCGGGAGCGTGGCGGGTCCTCATGTTCCTGCCACGTCTCACCTTACGACTTAGCAAGAGGTCCAGCTCTAAGTGGAAGGTGCTGCGAGAGCAGATGCACCTATTCAGATGTGGCCACTGGAACCAGCTCTACAGTGACTACGTGGGGTCCCTGCACCAAGCCGAGCCACCTCAGCACCGAAACGACCCCCTGGGAATCTCCTCACGTGTGGAAGGGTTGGTGAAACGGGGTAACCTGCGAAAAGCACTGGCAGCCCTCTCACCCTCGCCAGCGGCCCCTGCGACGATCGCAACATTGCAGCAGTTGGAATTAAAACATCCCCAACCCCAAGTTGAGCTGCCCGACTGGGTCCACACCTACACAACACCCACGCAATTTTCGTGCGCCGCGGAAAATTTCTCAGACGTCCTTGGGGATTGCCCCAGCGGGGTTGGGGCTGGTCCATCCGGGTCAACATTTGAACACTACCGCGACCCAGCCCTAAGCAACATCGAAGTGCTGAGGCACCTACACGAGGGATGAGCAATATGACGAACACCTGTTCGGTTCGCCTCGAACGTGTTCGAGGCGAACCGAACAATATTTTTTTTTGGCCTAAATTGTTCGGGGCGAACGTGTTCGGTGTTCGCCCGAACACGTTCGCCGTTCGCCCGGCTCAGCTGGCCGAGGCGCGACGAACACGAACGTGTTCGTGATCGACACGGGCCTTCGACGAACGCCAATGTGTTCGTCGACGAATAGGCCCGCGACCAATTTTTAGGGCGCGGGCCTTGGTGTTTGGGCTCAGATCAAGGCCTTTTGCCGTTGCTTAAGTGCGGATCAAGGCATTTCGCCGTTGCTTAAGCTCAGATCTAGCATTTCGCCGTTGCTTAAGCGTAGATCTAGCATTTCGCCGTTGCTTAAGCGTAGATCTAGCATTTCGCCATTGCTTAAGCGTAGATCTAGCATTTCGCTGTTGCTTAAGTGCGGATCAAGCATTTCGCCGTTGTTTAAGCTCAGATCTAGCATTTCGCCGTTGCTTAAGCTCAGATCTAGCATTTCGCCGTTGCTTAAGCGTAGATCTAGCATGGGCGGTTCTAGCAGGGAGGGACTGGCTTGCGGGGTGGGGGGAGGGAATGTGAAACATTTGGATTTCACTCTACTTGGATCTGAGAAGGTCCTTTAAGGCGAACGCGAACATGTTCTGGGCGAACGTGTTCGTGTTCGCCAAAACGTACGAAATGTTCGCCTCTCTTGGCGAACTTCGAACACCCTTTCTGGTGTAAAGTGTTCGGCGAACTGAACAGTGTTCGGTTCGCCGAACAGCCATGTTCGAGCCCAGGCGAACACGAACATGTTCGTGTTCGCCATTTGCTCATCCCTAACCTACACTCCGCCGTGACACATCTTCTCTCCACGAATCTTTCCACCGAGGTTGCAGCATTACTCTCGCCATCCCGCCTCATCGCCTTCGCTAAACCAGGGGGGGGGGGTACGCCCTATCGCAATAGGGGAATCCCTACTCCGGTTGGCAGCAAAGGTGGCACTCTCGGAACTGCAAGGAGAAACAAGGCGATTTTTCTTACCCCAACAATTCGGTGTGGCAGTCCCAGGCGGAGCTGAGTTCGTTATACATGCCGTCAGAGACCTCACCACTTCACATCCCTCCAGCCTAGTCGTCCAACTCGACATTGAAAACGCTTTCAACTCCGTAGAGAGGAAAGCGTTCTTCAACGCACTCACCAACACCCCGCTAGCACCGCTCATACCTTTCACCCGCTCCTTCTATGCAACGCCTTCTCAGCTGCTCACCGACCCCCGCTTGAGCACGACGGCACTTACCAGCGGAAGGGGGGTGAGGCAGGGGGACCCCCTCGGACCCCTGCTGTTCGCAGCATCAATCCAGCAGCACCTTAGACGCACAGCAGCAGAGCACCCAGAAGTCACGATCCTAGCATACGCAGACGACATCACCATGATCGGACCGGCGACAGCAACGCTCGGCGCACTCAAGTTGCTGACGCCGCTGCTCGCCCAGGATGGCCTCACCTGTAACCTCAGTAAGTCGTCGGCGTGGTCCACGACGCCGCTTGAGGGTGACGAGCTCCCCGAGGGCCTATAACTCACCCACGAGGGGGTACGGGTGTTGGGAAGCCCCGTGGGGTCACAGCGCTTCTGCTCTGACCTGGTCCGCAGTACTCTGACAAACGCAGCGGCACCCCTGGGCTCCCTAGCATCCATCCACCCACAGCATGCCCTCCTGCTCCTGTCCCGCTGCATCAGCCGCAGAATCGGCTACTTGCTGCGCACCACCCCAGCGGATGTCCTTCCCCTCTCGGAATGGCACGCGTGGTGCGCCGAACTGCTCAACACCGCCCTGACTGCCGCCAGCATCCAACCACCCCGCCGCGAAGCCGAGTTCAATCTTCTCATCCGCCAAGCAACCCTCCCAGTGGCCCTAGGTGGACTGGGCCTCACGGATCCCACAACAGAAGCAGCACCAGCCTACCTGGCCTCAACGACAGAGGCACTACGCCTGCTCCGCTCACTCGACCTGCCAGCAACCGCGGCGCTAGGGAGCAACAGCAACGCCCTGCAGCCGTCTGCGGCACACTTGGTCACCATCCAAGACATGGAGGGACGACTGCCGCCGCTGGCGCTGCAATACCTCCGTGAGGAGCAAGAAACCCCGTCCCAAGACCAGCTGCAGCGGGCCCTCTCTCAGGAAGTGCACGCGGCAAAGGCCGACACCCTGACAGAGGAATCACGCTCAATCAGGTCAGCCCCCGAGATGGGCCACACGCTCCGCCTCGTCAGCCTGAGAGGCGAGGGAGCGGGAGCATGGCTGCAAGCCCTACCCCTGACCCCAGACCTCTGCTTCTCACCAGGGCAATTCCGAACAGCCCTGGCCTTCCGCATGGGCATCCGACAGAACGTACCTACCGTGTGCGAGTGTGGAGAGCTCGTGGCCGACTGCAGCCTACCCAACCACCTACTCCGCTGCAGCACAGGCCCGGACAGAACGCGCACACAAAATCAGCTGGCCTTTGCCGTGGCAAAAATGGCGAGGGAGACGCAGCTGGTGGTATACCTGGAGAATGCAATGTACTCACCACCGGATGACCCGAAGAAGGCCGATGTGATCGTGCGTGACCCAGACAGTGGAGAGACCTGGATCACAGACACGACTATCACCGACCCCATGCTACAGAACCGGGACCCCACAGCCCGCAAACCCCCAGGCTGGGCTGCGAGGGAGGCACAGAGGCGGAAGGAGAGGGACTACTACAGGCACACCGAACACGTGGTGTTCTGCGCCCTGGCCGTCGAGACATACGGGGCAAACGCGCCCCCCACGACAGCGTTCCTTCAGCTGCTGGCCACAGCAGCGGCTAGGAACAGGTTCAGGGCTAACCCCTTGGCCAAATCGGCCAAGAAGATGGCCTGCCACTTCAGCCAACGCTGGTCAGTGGCCCTCCAGCGCTCCCAAGCGAATGCCCTGCACACCAAGGCCAGGGCTGGGATCGAGGCAGCGCACCCCCAGATGGCAGCGGACCCCTGGCCACTGCACCTGGGGGACATCCTCCACACGCTGGAGGGCTAGAGGGTCACGCAGGGGGGGGGGGGGAGAAGAGGGGTGAGCTAAGGGGCTTAAGGGAAGGAGGTTATCATGGATTGCACTGCATGTTTTTGTACCCCTGCTGAATCAATACAAAGGACCGTTTGAGAGAGAGAGAAGAGAGAGAGAATAGGCAACTTCTCTCCATGGAAGATCTTTATGTTGAACGAGTTATCTTCTCTGCTCTCTGCTTCTCTTCTCCCTTGTCTCCCCATTTCCCACCTCCTCCTCATGCCGTCCCCGTCCTTCTCTCATCCGTCTTTTCTTTGCGTTTTTTCATCTTTGATAACCCCCCTCGCTCCAAGCTGCCGCTGCGTGCGTGTAGGAGTTTCCAACCCCTGTGCCTTGAACTCCCCCCTTTCGTTTCCCCCCTTTTGCTTACTCCCTTGCCCTGTTCCTCCGTCCCTCCCTTCTCCCCATGCCATTTCTCTCCTTGCTGCATGTTCACGCCCTTAACACAGATCCTGAATACAAACCTCCTCTACGGTTGGCTCACCAGACCAGATCGTTACAGCATCCTCTTTCAAAAATCCGTAAGTTCCAGATTCTCACTGCTGCTTTTTGCAGCACCTCGTCCCCACTGACTGTTTGTTGTTTACACCTTTCCTGAAGTTAGGGCTTCCCCACACCCTTATTCCGCCCCATTCCTCTCTTCCTGTCCACTCCTCTCAGCACCTCAGTCTTCTCCCCTCTCTCCCACTCTGCTTCCCTTCCCTCTCCTTGTCCTCTCCTCCCTCACCTCTCCACAGATCCCCTTCTCTCTAGCAGAAACCACCCACCAATCAGCGCCACGTGTCGAGGTCTCATTGGAGGGCGCTACACAGCCCTTGCCCCTGCACACCGTCTACAGCCACGTCCACAAGGCCCACCCCTCATGGGGCAACGCCGCCCTGCATGTGCTTACAGGGAAGGACCTTCTGGTGAGTGTACTCGTTAAACGCCTTGCACGTGCTTATAGAGAAGCAACTTCCAACAAATATACTCCATGCTTGTCCTTTGCCACCCGATCCGCATCTTGCAGAGTGCTGTCTTTAGCCTCTCTTCTCTGCCGCCCAAGTCTCACATGCTTCTGAAATGACAAACACCTGGAAGCACTTGTGAATTCTTGCACTGTATTGTTCCTGTGAAACCTGTGAATGAATGAGTAGCGGCTCCACACATAAGTGCACAAACAAGAGGGTTGTGTGACCGTCTCCTTTCTTCACCAACTTTGCACACATCACTCACGATCCCCTCCCACCAGCTGGGCCTGCGCACGGACGAGAGGGTGCTGCCAATCAATCACGACCTGACAGCTGTCGGCCACGTGAGATTCGGTTCCAACGGTCGACCCGCAATCTTCGCTTCCCCCAAACTCCCCTACTTCCTGTGAGTGCTCCCCTGGACCATAGGAACCCTTATACCCACCCACCCTACTCCCTCTGAGTGATGAGTCATCTCAATGATGCTCCCTTATTTCCTGTGCAAAACCTTGCCAACCACACTTGCTTCCTTCACATTTAATGAGTGGTGTGGTGTGTGGGTTGCACTGACGGGTTAAGACATGGATGGTGCAGAACCCTGACGACCGGACGCTCATGGGCCCTGGGGCGATGGCGGTTTCGCGTGAATTATGTGTGGAGGCCGAGGACAAGGGGGTCTGACCCCTAATTTTAACCTACAAAGTATATTTGTTGCTTGCATGCCTTGCCTTGACAACTTTCTTTCTATTACCCCACTCCCCCCCCTCCCCCTACCCCAGTTCTTGCATGTGGTTGTGCAGTGTTGTCCATGTGACTTGGGTACCTCTGCATTCAGGATGAGTAGTAGGCATAAGTTATTTTTCAGATTAACACTATGTGTTGCATGTACGCATGGGAAAAAAAGTACATGTATGCCGGAGAAAATCCCCTCTGTTCATTGATACCCGTCTCATGTACAGGTTGGCCCGACCCGCCACGGGTCACAAACGACCCGTGCATGTATAGACGGGAGGGGTCACTAGAATGGCCAGGTCGACCTGGGGCGGGTCGACCCGACCCGTACCCGTACCCGTCACGGGTCACCCTAAACGGGTACGGGTCGACCCGACCCGACCCGTTGCCCATGTCTAGTGCAACCTGCTTTCCTCCCTCATGTTTGTTTGCACACACCATTCATGCGAACTTCTGCCCTTCACCTGTACCTGCATGTAACAATCTCTCACCGTGGTGCTTCCTTCCTTCTCTAAGAATCTAACTATGGGTCTGCACAACCCCGCTACTGACACAACCTTATTTCACCTGTAGCAGCAGTTGCACTTTCTCTGGAGGCGAGAAAGATTGCAAGTCATTCTCCTTGAGTCGGTCGTGGCCATGGCCATGGTTTCTTTTTCCTCTTTTTTCTGCTCCCCCATTCCCTCACCCACCTCCTGCCCGCCTTTCCTCCAGCCTTCCCTAGCTCACAGCAGCCCTACGTGCTGTCGATATCAACACTACCCTTCCTGTTTCTTCCCCTCCTAAGGGCACCAAGAGGTGCATGCTTGGGGGATCACTATCAGGATTCGGTGCTGATGATTCTACAACTTAACCACCACGCTTCCCCCCTTCCTCCCTCTTCACCCTCCTGCCTCCCCTTCTCCCAAGTTCTCTGGCTCCTGCTAAGTTACCATTTATATTGTTGGGTTATTACCCATAACCACGCTCCCCTCCCCTCACCAAGGATGGCATGCTGCAAAAGCTGAATCACCATCAGCGCTGTCTTTTTCCTCCCATCCCCCCTCTCCCAGCATCTCCGACACCAAGGAGGGCATGCTGCAGAGACTGAATTGCGAGTGGAGGATGCTGCTAGGATGGTGCTTGTTTTTGTCTGCTGCTGCTGTGGGCCTCGTTGGCTTTGCTCTGTGGAGGTGCGTGCATGTTCGTGTGGGGGTGGTGATGGGTGTGGACGGGTGGATGGGGGGATGGCGGATAGGTGGATGGATGGATGAGAGGAGGGGTGGGGAGGTGGAGAGTGGGTCTTTGCAATGCGGAGTATGCTTGCATTTGCTTAGCTCTGCAGGAGGTTCGTTTAGTTAGCTTCTAGGGAGGTTTGCCAACTTTGTGCCCTCCCCTCCCCTCCTCTCCCCTCCCCTCCTCTCCCCTCCCCTCCTCTCCCCTCCCCTCCTTTCCCCTCACTCCCCTCCCCTCCCCTCCCCTCCCTTCCCCTGCCCTCCCCTCCTCTGCCCCCCTCCACTCTCCCTCCTCTCCTCTCCTCCCATCTCCTCTCCCCTCCCCTCCTCTCCTCTCCTCTCCCTCTCATCCATTTACTGAAGCCGTCTCTGCTAATTGCTTCCCACCCACCATCCCCTCTCCTTCCTTCGTGCTCTGCCAGGGCAAATCGTCGCCAGCAATCCAGGCAGCAGCAGCAGCGACAAGAGCAGGCAGAGCAAGCAGAGTTGGAAAGGAGGATGACAATGTTTTTGGAAGGGCAGCAGCAGACAGCAGCAGCAGGAGCAGAAGCACGATCAGGAAGAGGAGCAGAGGGAGCAAGGGCAGTTGCAGGAGCAGGAGAAGGTACAGAACAACAAAGGGTGAGGACCCAAGCGGGCATGAACCAGGCCTCACATGTCAGGGCGCTAGCAGCTCCGACCTTGGAGCTTGAAAGGAGCTTGGCACATATAAGTGGTGAAGGGGATGCGGACGAGGAGGTAGTGGGGGAGGAGGTGCAGAGTGGTGAGCGCTGTGTGGTGTGCCTGCATCGCAAGCGCAAGGCGGTCTTTGTACCGTGTGGCCACCGCGTCTGTTGTGTATCGTGTTCGAGGATGGTTAGGGTGGAACAGTTGCCATGTCCCATTTGCCGCGGGCAGATTCTGGCTGCCTTTCGTGTGTACGATGCTTGAAATTAGTACAGCATCCCAGCCACATGTGCTCAGGGTTCATTCCGCTCAAGACATGTCCGTTAAGAAAGTGTCGCAATCGATTGTGACGCGTACTTAGAGCATATGCTGCCATGTGTCGAGATTCCGGACCGCTCAACAAAATTGTCAAGTGTAATTTCGATTGGCTGACGTGAACCACGGAACCGTCGCCGGCTATTTGCACGCCATCGCAACAATAACCTGCCATCGCATGCGGTCCCAGATGTCAATCCCATCTGCATGTATCTGGACATTAGGACTGTTCGATTTCTCCCACCGAACGCGTACAACGAAGCGGGATTGGTCAATCAAGGCAAAAGCACAGAAAGCACCGAACAAGTTATAAACAGGATTTGGCAAACCCCAAAAGGCTAGAACCGAATAGAATAATGTGCCATGACCCAGCTTGAAAGGGTGCGGAAGAGATCAGGCTTACGGTATAAGGAGCTGTTGTTACCAGGCCGTCAGATTCGTTTTGAGCCACGCTTTTTTGTCAGTGTTGGTCCCTGGAAAAACACTTTCTATCAGTGTTGACAAAAAGAAAACCCTGAAAAATCAGTGTTGTAGAGGGAAAAAAAAACTTTCCCGTCAGTGTAGGTACAAAAATGTACCGTAATCCCCCGTATATAAGACCCTAGGGGGTATTATGATAATCACCCCTAAAAAGACTAGGGGGTATAATTATATGGTATACTTTTTAGAAGACCCGGATCTGTTCATCTTGACATTTTTAAGAATGTAGTTTTGGAGCTCAAAGAAGTGATTTGGAGTTGCTCCGTTTTTAGCTCCTCCCAAAAAAACTCGAATTGGTCTCCACACGGGCCGAACTTACAGCATCACAAACCCTATCTAGGAGCCTACTTCCTTTTGCCCACCAACACTACTTGGTGTTCACACGACAGCGCAGGGCACCGTTTGATGGCCTTAGCCTTCATACCCCATGCACGCTTCGTGCGGGCTGCACAGTCCTGGAACGGGCGGGATCTTTCAGACACCCCTACTGCATTCTGGCACGTCCTTGTTCATCTGGTTGACTTCACTTCCCCCTCCTGTTTCTTTCCCCGTACTGTGCTCGGCTGGCTGCCGCATAGAAGATGGCTGCCTGTTCCATTTCGCCTCGAAGCTAGCAGCCACGTTATTTCCACCTTAGCCGCCATGGTGACCTCACCAGATACTGGGACGTCCGGTGATCGATGCAAGCGTCGCAAGAAGGTGCCGAACCCTCTTGTTCCTAGGCCGTCGCCCAGGCCCGTCATGCCCACGCCAAGTGCCTCTAGCAGCGAGGCGACAGATCAGGAGCCCTGCAGGAGCCCACGCAGTCCGCTTCCGCAGGTGAAGGTTCCCGTGTTTCCTGTATCAAGCCGACCGCGGGGACAGAAGAAGCGGGTGCGCGACGCAGAGACGCCGGAGACAAGGCGCCGACAAACGGAGAAGAAGCGGAAAGCTTACACCGTCAAGGAGAAGCTTTACTGGCTCAAGATGCTTGACGCGCAGCCCCCTATGAGCGTCCGGGGTTTGGCCAGGCTCGCCAAAGTCCAGCCAAAGCAGATCCGCGACTGGCGCAGCATGAAGGAGCGGCTCGACAAAGCGGCAGGGTGTTGCCAACGTCTCACTGGTGCGGGACGAAGTACCCCGATATGGAGGTTGCGGTCTACCGTAAGTTCTTGTTCCACCGTGGGAAAGGCCTGCCGATTTCCATAGGTCTGCTGCAGAGTTGGGCGGCGACCTACATGAAGCATCGCCACCCCCAGAAGAAGTGGTCTTGGTCCAGCCGCTGGACCAAGAGGTTCCGCAGGCGGTGGTCCCTGGAGCGGCGCGTGAAGACAAAGATCGGGCAGAAGCTCGCTGCAGGTACCTTGACCTCGCCCTACTCGATGTTTCCCGCAGTAAAGTCGTACCTATCCACCTGGCCTGACTCCCCCTTATCCCGTGCGATGCAGATTGCAAGGAGAAGTGCGAGGCCTTCTGGGAATTCGTGAGGCAGATGCACGTGCTCAACTCCTACCCCCTCAACCTGATCGTGAACGCGGATCAGACACCCCTGTGCCTTGAGATGCCTGCCGAGCGCACCCTCGAAATGAAAGGCGCTCGGACCGTGCACGTGCGCACCGCGGGGTACGAGAAGGAGCGTGTGACGGTCATGCTGGCGGTGACCGCGGACAGCTTGAAGCTCCCTCCGTTTGTAGTCTTCAAGCGGAAGACCTTGCCGAAGATCCCCATACCCCGTGGTGAGTTGTGACTTACCGAATGTTCTGCCGGGAGGTCGTGAAGGAAAACAACCCCTAATGTTTCTTTTTTGTTGTGCAAGAATTGTCGTGCGAGCCCAGGAAATGGGCTGGATGGACGAGAGCCTTGTCCAAGACTGGACAACGATGGTTCTCGTCCCCTTCCTGAAGCCTCATCGCGAAAAGGACGGGCAGCGCAAGGATGCGCTCCTCATCTTCGACTCCTACTGAGGGCACACCACGGAAGCAGTCGTCCAGACGATGAAGCTGTTCAAGCTCAGGCGCGCGGTGATACCTGGCGGTTGCACCTCGCTGGTGCAACCCCTGGACGTGTCGGTGAATCGCAGCTTCAAAGCCGGGGTTCGCCACCGCTACTCCACGTGGTTCCAGGATGAGGGGATTGATTCTTTCACCCCTGCATGTGAGCATGAGAGTTGTCCCTGTTTCAATGTGTGCCTTGACCGTGTGGTGACTCACGTTTGCCCCTACCCGTGACATTTCCCGCAGGGAATTTGAAGAAACCTCCCCTAGAGAAGGTTCTCTGCTGGATTGCAGAGTCATGGGCTGAAGTGCCAGAAGAACTGATCAAGAAATCCTTCGTGACCTGCGGCATCTCCACCGCCGTCGACAGGAGCAATGATCATCTGATCCTCGCTCACCTCTGTGATAAGGGGGAGGTGGAGGTGCTGGAGGATGTGTGCGAGGAGGAGCTCGACGAGCTCGTCCCCAACCCTTTCTACCTTGATCCTGCCGCCCCTGCGAGCAAGAAGAGCGATGAAGCCTCCTCTCCATCTGAGGAGGAGGAGGAGGAGGAGGAAGAGGAAGAGGAGGAGGAGGCGGCGGAGGAGGAGGAGGAAGAGGAGGAGGAGGAGGAGGAGGAGGAGGAGGAGGAGGAGGAGGAGGAGGAGGACGAGGAGGAGGAGGAGGAGGGGGACACGGAGAAGGAGGAGGACGAGGAGGAGGATGAGGAGGGCGAGGAGCCTGGTGGTGCGGAGGTGGAGGGTGGAGCGGGATGGGAGGATGATGGCGATGAGTGGTGGGCAGAAGGGCGATATGATGGGGAGGAGGTCGAGACTTGGGTTGCGGGACAGGATTAGGATGTTAATGTGGGTGTGCATGTGCGTTCATGGGTGCAATTTCTCTTAATTAACATGGATTATGACCATTTTCGATTGCTTGTTTATAAAATCCACACTTCTCTAGGATGTGGGGGGGGTCTTATAATGTTAGGGGCCATTTAGGGGGTACAACTCAGATGTACTCGAATAGAGTACCCGGGTCCGTATTATAGACCCGGGGTCTACAAGTGGGGGGGGTCCTATATACGGGGTCCGTATTATAGACCCGGTAGGCTGATTGTGATTGCGTGATAAACAATGTTCAAAGAAGCATGGTTACGTTTTCGAGTATGTAGATTCAATCACACGAACATACATCAAACAAATTAACTACCTAGTTAGTTACCTACCTACCTACCTACCTACCTACCTACCTACCTACCTACCTACATCCTATCCTATCACAAATAATCCTCCTCATTAGCCCTATCTTGTTCCTTGTCTTCCTCATCCCCAGCATCTACATCTTCCTTCCCCCTCTGCCTCCTCTCATCCTGCCTGGCTATGGTGCAGTTGTTAAATGGCTTACGCTTCTTGTAGTTGCGCCAGATCTCCACGATTTCGTCCCAATTGGGATCGTACTTGAGCAATGACATGCACATCAGGTCGCTCAGACGGCACATCGTACTTGAGGCTGCCTCGCTGCCAGGACTTGATGATGTTATGGCACGAGAAACCGCGCTCGCACTCAACAGTGCTCAGCGGCAAAACCGCCACCGCCACCCACAGCCGCACCAGGTTAGGGTAGTGATCCTGCCAGTCGTTGGTCTTGAGGATGGCTGTGAGCCCAGTGTGGAAGCCGCGCTCACTCTACGGTGCACCTGCAAGTACGAAAATAAGCAACCGCAACTCATTGACTGCTTTTTTTTTCTCGATGCCTGCTGTCACTCATAAGGCAACGAAAAGAAGTAGAGATAGAAAGAAAGCATTGAAGGAAATAGGGGAGAAACAAAGCACTTACGATACGAGGATATAAACATGAAGGGAGATGAAAAGATACAATGAATATTCGATCCATTTAAGAGATTTCTACATATAACAATGCGCTTACCAGGCAAGATTTCATCGCCCTCCTCGGCTCGAAAGATAGTGATCAACGACTCAAGAAACTCCTGACAATTGGCATGGTGCTCGTGCCAGCCATAAGGCCTGCTGTCGGGAGTGAACAAGCTGACGTCCAACAGCTTGTCAAGGTCCCCCAACCGATCCTCCAGGTTGCCCACGATGAGCTCCACGAACTCGGTTCAGATGTCGAGACAAGCGTCGTGGTGCCCGGGTCCTGGATAGTTGACCAGCTTCTCCTCGTGCTGCGTGAACGTAAAGGTGGTCGCCTGCCCATCTGAGTCAGCGCCATCGATGCAGACGTCCCGGTTGCCGTTGGGACCATGCTTCTCCAGCCATGGTGAGAGCTTGGTGCCGAGACCGCCACCGAAATCGTCCCTGCAGTCCACGTAATGGGCCTCAAGATGGCGTGTTGTCTGTTTAATCTGCGCATGAACAGCAGACAGATCAAGCTGGGGTGAAAGCAAGGCACAATCAGAGAAAGAACATAGGTTAGGTTAAAATGTATACTGACAAAACATGGATCCATAAATGTACACAGACGGAGCTGGGCATGAGCACTTGTCGTCGCTGAAACGTCTTTCTCAGGTCATTCATTTGGTCGAGGACGTCGGACACAAAAAGGAGGAGAAAGTGAAACCTGTACGACGTCACCACAGTGTAAAGCTTCTCGTTCCACTCCTTGAGCATCGTGATAACTACGGGAAGGACCGCCACAAACCTGGCGATTGCATCACCACGAGATAACCACCGAACACTGTGAATGCCCTGCAACTCCAGGTGACAAAATTAGTAGTAAGAAGAGGTTTGAACTAGCAAGAATGAGGATACAAATAGCAAACCCTAGAAGGGTTGTACTCGCTATAGAACACCCCACTACAGGCTAGAGCACAATATTCTGACACACCCCCATAGCCAAAGTGGGGTGTAATCAGCAGAGCAAGCAAAGTAGTACAAGCTCAAGGTGGATCACAATGTCACCACACATTCTGAGCACAAGTTCAAGAAGCAATAGTTAAAGTTCACAATTATCAGCAAAGCTAGTGGTAGTCACAACGGGCAAGTGAGGAGGAGGGAGAGTGAGAGGAGAGGAGATAGAAGGCGGCGGCTGAAGCTGCAGACACACGGGCAACAGGAGTGGCGAGCACAGTGGCTACCGGACCAAGCGGCCGGACTACAGGAGTAACTGGCTCCGCGGCTAAGACGAGCGGCAGGAGCTACGGACCCACAGGCGACTGGCGCAGCGACAAGCTCACTGGGCTACCGGGACAACGCCCCGGACTACAGGTGCTGCGGACGACAAGACGGCAGCCTCCGCTCAACCTCCCGCAAACAGTCCCACCCCCCTGATACACACCCGTTGCTACACACCTAGCTCCACTCCCACGCACCCCCCTTAAACCCTAAACCCCAGTCTCCCACACATCCACCCCCCTCAGCGACAGCTGCAGCAGTGGGAGACGAAGGAGGAGGAGGAGCAAAGGGAGGAATGCACACCGGCCACCCCCATACCCGCCACCCCACAGCTCGCCCCCGAAGGAGCCGCGACGGGCGACGGGAAAAGGGGGGGGGGGGGGAGGCGGTGTGGAGAAAGGGGCCTACCACGGGCCTGGTAGGGTCGCAGGTAGGGAGACGGGGCCGGGGCCGGGGCCGCAGGTAGGGCGACGGGCCGCAGGTAGGGCGGCGGGACGACGGGGCCGCGGCCAGGTAGGGAGGCGGGACGGCGGGGCGACGGGCTGCAGGTAGGGAGGCGGCCCGAGCCGCGCGCAGGCCTGGCGCCGCACAAACGGGCCGCGCGCGGGCCTGGCGCAGCCTGTACGGGCCGCGCGCTGCCTGGACGGGCCGCGCGCTGCCTGGACGGGCCGCGCGTAGGCCACGACGGGCGACGGGGGGTGACGACCGGGTCCGCGTCGCCCGTCGCAGCGCCTCCCGAGGGCGACGCGCGGGTCGACGGGGCCGAAGCCCGCCGCGCGCCTCGGGGCGCACAGCGGGCAGAGAACCGCCGCGCGCTTCGGGGCGCACGGCGGGCAGAAAACCGCCGTGCGCCTGGGGGCGCACGGCGGGAAGAAAAAATGCCGCACGCCACGGGGCGTGCGGCTCAGAGAGTAGTTGCAGTAGTAGCAGTGGTAGCAGCGTAAGCTAGGCGGTGGTAAGCCCACCCACAGGATCGATCCAAGGGGATCGACCTGCTCTGATACCATGACAAAATTAGAAGTAAGAAGAGGTTTGAACTAGCAAGAATGAGGATACAAATAGCAAACCCTAGAAGGGTTGTACTCGCTATAGAGCACCCCACTACAGGCTAGAGCACAATATTCTGACACCAGGTTGGTCTCGGTGAAGACTTCCTGCAGGTCCTTAAAACGCTGATGCCACGGACCAGATCTGCCCAGATGCTCGGCGATAGCACGAATAGTGGTATCGATCATGTTGAAGACGGGCAGGCTCTTGTCAGAATGTTATTCTCTAGCCTGTAGTGGGGTGCTCTATTGCCAGTACAACCCATCTAGGGTTTGCTATTTGTATCCTCATTCTTGCTAGTGAACCCCCCTCTTTGCCTAAACTATTCTTGCCTAGCTAGGGCTTTCCTAGCTATGGCTCCTGGTTCTCTCTACTATCTTAACATGGTATCAGAGCGGTTACGCTCTCGGCCTGTGGGTACTACTGCTTCCGCTGCTACACGCTCTGTCGCACGCCCCGTGGGGTGCGACGCATTTTCAAACCCTTTGCACTTTGGCGCGCGCCTCGGGGCGCGCGGCCCCTTTCTTTTCTGGCGCGCCGCGCGCTGCCCCGTCGCGCCGCCCAGGGGAGCCGCGCGCGGCCCCCGCCCGTCCGTTACGATGGTCTGGGGTGTCGCGCGCGGCCCCGTCGCCGCCCGCTGCGGCCCCGTCGCCGCCCTCCCGCTGCCCCTTCGTGGTGCCCTGGGGAGCTGCGCGCGGCCTCTCGCTGCCCCGTGGTGGCGCCCTGGGGGCCGCGCGCCGTTCTCCCTGTCGACCCCCGCGCTCCCTCCCCGTCCCACCCGTTTTTGGGTTTGGGGGTGAGGAGTGTGGGGGTGGTGGTTGTGGGGGTGTCTGCTGTGCGCGCCGTACCCCTCTTCTCCTCCTCCTTCGTCTCCCACTGCTGCAGCTGTCGCTGAGGGGGGTGGATGAGTGGGAGACTGGGGTTTAGGGTTTAAGGGGGGTGCGTGGGAGTGAATCTAGGGTTTGAGCAGTGGGCGTGTGTCGAGAAGTGTGGGGCAGTTAGGGAAGGTTGAGTGGAGGCAGCAGTCTTGTCGTCAGCAGCAACAGCAGTCCGGAGGCTACAATCTCCGGTAGTCGCCAGTCGCCCGTGGGTCCGTTGCTCGTCTGCCGCTACTTTTAGCCGCGGGGCCAGTTACCCCAGTAGTCCGGAGCGCTGTTCCGGTAGCCACTGAGCCAGCAGCTCGTCTGTGTGTCTGCAGCGTCAGCAGTCGCCTCCCATCTTCTCTCCCCCACAGCTCCTCCTCCTCCTCACTTGTCCGCTGTGATTAGCTCTAGCTTTGCTTATCTGTGTAAACTCCTGCTCTATACCTGCTTTCTCACTGTGCTGATTACACCCCACTTTGGCTATGGGGGTGGGTCAGAATGTTATTCTCTAGCCTGTAGTGGGGTGCTCTATAGCGAGTACAACCCATATAGGGTTTGCTATTTGTATCCTCATTCTTGCTAATGAACCCCCCTCTTTGCCTAAACTATTCTTGCCTAGCTAGCGCTTTCCTAGCTATGGCTCCTGGTTCTCTCTACTATCTTAACAGCTCTCTGCCGCATCATTTGCCGCAAGTGCCTCACTACAACCACAAGCAAGCGGAAACTCATTGTTAAACGTAGAATATGATTTAGGGTTTAGGGACGTCCCGGGAAGCCTTCATCGGTGAAGACGTCCCGGGACGTCTGCATATT